TACCAAGTGAAAGCAAGCAGAACACATTATATACATGACACGATTGGGGGGAAAAGCGAATACTTTATGACAAATTTTCCTCTCTTATTACTTACTCTTCAGTGTGCTTTACAGTACATACTTACGTAAGTTAATTTTTATTCAGATTAGTGTCATTTACGTATTTAAGATTCAATGAAAATGATTCAATAAGCTGTATCATCAATATATTCTTCTCCACTCATCCCTCCTTTTGGCATTCTGGGCACTCATACAAGGTGTGTCTAGTGTGTTTTTCAAGCTGCTAGGTACAGGACTTGAACTGTGCAGTCAGCCACATGGAATCTAGGTGCCTTAATCACCTCACTGGGCCACAGGTTGGCCCCTACATTTATTTTCAAAGATGAAGCAGCTATGTAGTTTTTTAATGCAAAAAGACAACAATGTGATCAATACTCTTTTTCATTCTGAACATAGTCTGAGAGCAGAATAGTCTGGTGGAGTTAGATGATGCAACCCTAGTTCTGTTTTCATTCCTAAAAGTAGGGTTACTCTGGGACAGTCATTTACTGCTTTAGGTTTTGGTTCTTTAATTGTACTGTCTTCTTGTGCTCTCTCAGCGGTTTATTCCATTCTTCACCTCCTTCTCAGGTTATTGTAAATCCCCTCTCAGTTATTCCCCATCTCCAGATTTTCCATGCCCATCTACCTGATAAGCAGCAGTCGGATTAATTGCAATAATGAAAGCTTTATTCATTTCACTCTCAGTACAACAACATTTAATAGGTTCTCAATAGATTTTTAGATCTTTAAAATGACAGAGACCATATATACATGAGAGAGGGAAGGAGAAAGAGACAGACAGAGGAGCAATCTTGACAGGGTTTCATTATGCTGCAATCACCTTTCCTTAGTTCCTTAAAACTTAGGTGCTCATGTGAACACCTAGAACATTTTAAGTCAACCTGGGGATCCAAGTCCATAGTCTGTCATATGGCTTCCAGCCTTGTGTTACCACTATGCCATAGCAGCAGTGCCCTTCTCAATAGATTGCTTTTTTTTTTTTTTTTTTTTTTTTTTTTAAG